TTGGGTAACACCTGGTCTCCAGAGTTTTAGTCCAACACTCAAACCACTACATCATTCTGGTTGAGTGAACAGGTTTACACAGAAGGAAATCTCATTGAACTCAATAGGGGCTTACTCCTTTGCAAGCATGCTTAGGAGTGGAGTCTTACAGTGCCATTCTCAACCTACTTTTCTAAGCTGGAGACAGTTATCTTTTTGCTCATCCATTCCACATTCCTGCTTCCAAAACAAGAAGAATTAGTTTGCCACCTCTAGATATGTCTCCCTCTCAATCTTAGAACTTGAAATCCTAGGGAGATATCCCTATATACCTGTCCCCTGGAATGTTGCTAGGTTTCTATTTTTATGTAAAGCAGTAAAAGTAGAGTTCTTCAGAGAAATGACTTCAGAGAACTACTACAATACCTCTGCAGAAATGGGTACCGGCAGATCATGAAATATCTTTAATAATTATTCAGGTTTCCCTTCCCAACTTCCTTAGCCGATCAAATAAAATTCATCAGAGAACCACCCCCTGGCAGCATAACAAAACATCAAAAAGACCAAGGTTGGCTTTAATCTCCAAATAGTTGAGACAGAAGAAATCATGAAGCTCAGATCTAAAGACAGGTTCTCGCACTTATTTATTTCTTTTCTTTTCTTTTTTGGCCAAGCTTGACATCTACAGAAACAAGGCTTGCAAAAAACGTACCCTGCCTTATAGGCTGCAAATGCTTCATTCTCTGAGCCTGCCATTTGAAAGCCTATGGCATAAAAACAGTCTAGCACCATCTGATTTTGTGCTACGTTGTCTAGAGACGTTGGAATACCCCTGGGCCTAAGATTTGCAAGTCTTTCCGATTCAGAAGAATGAATAAATGCAAAACAGGCAGCTAAGTGTGCTTACAGCATTCCAGCCGGTGTAGGAACTGCTGTCGTGCGACTCCAAGTCATTTCTGATTTCTAGGCTACATCCGCACTGCAGGAATAATCCAGTTTGACACTGCTTTAAATGCCATGGCTCAATGCTATGGAATTCTGGAAACTTTAGTTTGTTGTGGCACCAAAGCTCTCTGACAGAGAAGGCTAAATGTCTCACAGAACTTCAATTCCCATAATTCCATAGCATTGAGCCATGGCAGTTAAAGTGGTGTCAAACTGGATTGTTTCTGCAGTGCAGATGCAGCCAAAGCAATGCTAAGGCAACCCTTGTTGGTATACTAAATTTGCTTGGACACATGTAAGAGAAACTGACTATATATTGGCATTGTGTATGTGCATAATACATGCTGTTCGGCCATTACAACTATCTTCCAGTCTTGGGTAAGGACTCTGTTTCAGCACATGGGTTTGAGGGTGAATCCGCTGTGTAATTAAAACAAATCTAAACAAATCTGTCATGGGATTTTCTGAGCTGAGAGTGTGTGACTTGCCCAAGATCATCCAGTAGGCTTCCATGGCTGAGCAAGGATTGGAACCATGATCTTCAGAATCACAACCCAATGCTCAAACCACTACACCACACTGCTATAATAGAAGCCTACTACTATATCTATCAGAGTTCCAAACCCAAAGTGCCTTACCTTGAGCAATGTCATCCTGCCTTTGGAGAGATGGCCGCTCGCCCTTGTTCACCTGTTGGGAAGACTCTCTTTCTTGCTGTTGCTTGGGATACTTTCCTTCATTGAACACTTGGGGAAGGTTGGCCGTATGGACCTGTCTAAGCTGCTCATAATCACTCAGGGCAGCAGTCAGATCCCAGTTTTTGCCTAAAAGGAGACCAAAGAAGAAAAGCGTTAACAATTTCCACATGCACACCTCATGGATTTATATCAAACAATGGGAGATACCATCTATACTTCAGCTCTAACCTCAGGACAGTGGTCCTTGGACAAAAAATAATGAATGATTCGAAAGAGAAACAGTAGAACTGGAATATCCAATGTATCCATAGTGGGTTGAACAGAGACAATGGCTTCCTGGCATACTACATATTACACTGGTTAACATCCCAGGTCCACAGGGATGCTCTTGGCCAGTTTATCACATCACCTTTCCAGTTCCCAGAGTACACCCGCCACATCCCAAACCTCCCTCCACCATTCATAGGTAAAGAGATCTTGTCACACCTTTGAGACTAACTGAAAGAAAGAAGTTGGCAGCATGAGCGTATGTAGGCTGAAGTCTGTTTCCTCAGATGCATTTGGTGAAGTGGAATGCATCTGAGGAAGTAGACCTAAGTCTATGAAAGCTCATGCTGCCAACTTCTTTCTTTCAGTTACTCTCAAAGGTGTGACAAGATCTCTTTATATACTGATTTTGCACAGCTGTATTTTTGAATCCTATGATTCATATGGTCATCCATGCACCCTGGCCTTAGATAACTTAGGATCTTTCCTCCTGCTTTGGTCCCTCAACAACCATCCTTAAAACTGATCTTGTCACTTCACCCCCCTCCCCATAAGTTTTCCATTTTTAGGACTATTTATGCAATCTGATTATAAAGATCCTTCTTGGGCACCAGTTCCCTCCATGCCTCTGAGGAAGCAGACCAAGCCTATGAAAGCTTATGCTACAAATTCTTTTGCACAGTGAAGTCTCAAAGATGCTACAAAATCCCTTTGCATACTGTATATACTCATATATAAGTCTAGAAATTTGAGTCCAAAAGTTGACCCTAAAACCTGAGCTGACTTATCCACAGGTCAATATATATACTGTGCTTTAACTCTTTCCAAAAAAGGAACCCTTCCATTCTCCATCTACATCAGCAATCCCCAAACACTGGTCCTCCAGATATTTGGGACTTCAGCTGCCAGATGCTTCAAGCCATTTTGGCCAATGGTCTGGGATTCTGGGAGCCAAAGTCCAAAACATCTGGAAGGCCAGCGTTTGGGAATCACTGCTCTACATGGTGGCAATTCAGAAGGGGAAAAACCAGAGAAAAGCTCTGTAAAAGTTACCAATCTACTGCATTCTTTGCTAGAAAGAATAGTATTCTAAGACTAACCAGAATGTAGTCTTAGGAGGCGTTGGTGTTGGCATGCTCTTTTGAAACGCTTTCATCCCTAGCAAGAAGAAGTGGTTCTCTTTATTGTGTGACCCAGAGGGGTTATGGGCCTATAGATTCCCATTGTGATCTCCAGTGAGAGTGGGTGGGCGGCAAGGAGAAGAAACTTTAGCTTGGATTTAAAACAAAATTTCTCTCCTTTGTATGCACCGATCATGGGTTCCTTCACTTCTCTCACCACATTTCCTGTGGAAACTTTTCAGGGTTTATGGGTGCTATCTCTCAGAATCAGCAATGACATGGAGAGGTTAGAAGCTAAAAGCAGGGATCCTTTCTCACTCTTGTACACAGGAAGAAGTAACTGAATTGGTTAAAAAAAATATCCTGAAACCCTAATCTTGGCAACCAATTTTATTGCTGAAAGGGAGAAGGATGAACTTTCATGTATATAACTGATAGCACCGTTCAGACTAACTGATTTTTAGTTTTGCATGAGCTTTCATGCAAACAAAGCCACTAGCACCTTTAAGACTAATTGATTTTTATTTTTGCATGAACTTTTATGGTTATGGAAACCAATTAGCACCTTTCAGACTAACTGATTTTAATTTTTGTATGTGGTTTTGTGGATATAAACCCACTAAACTCATTTTTATTTCTGCATGAGCTTTCATGGTTATAGAAACCCATTAGCACCTTTGTTTTTGCATGAGCTTTCATGCATACAAACCCATTATTTTTGCATGAGTTTTCATGGATCTAAACCTACTTGCACCTTTAAGACTAACTGGTTTCTATTTTGACAGGAGCTTTTGTGGATATAAACCCACTAACAACTTTCAAGACGAACTGGCTTTTATTTTTGCATGAGCTTTCGTGGATATAAAACCACTTTGTGGGTTTATATCCATGAAAGCTCATGCAAAAAATAGAAACCAGTTAGTCTTACAGGTGCTGCAACATTTCTTTTTTTCCCCTTGCCCTCCCTTCCTCCTTTATTAGCCAGAACTAACACAGCTACATTTTTGAAAACTGCTGAAAGTGGTCATTCCAAATGAAATGTCATCTCACTTTTTGCTCCTATGCATGAAATAGTAATACTGTTAATAGCAAGAATACTACAGTTTGATTTTTAACGTAGCAAAAATCCTAGCCAAAGAACTAAAGTAGGATTGTTAATTGGTAGACCAGAATTTTCAAGCTAGGAATCACACAAGATGAAGCTACCTCTTCCAGGAAAAGCAGTCAGATAAATGACATATGACTAATTCTTGGCTCTGAAATCAGAGGGTGATTATTAGTTTTCATCTAAGCAGAATGCCTCTAATTTTATTCTCCTGAACCGGGACATCTTTTGCACCAGAAGGATGAAAGTGCTTAACCATGCTAATTTCCATTTGGATCTAGAACCGTCTCTTAACCCTAGATAGCAACACCCATTCTAGCCTTTTTATTAACAAAATATCATGGTGAAGCAAACAACATTTTTTTTCAAGGAAACACAGTGACACATGTACTCTGATATGGATCGGATACTACACAAGGCTACACAAAACGGAGATCCTAGGAATGATCTGTGTCTCAGAACCACTGTCTAGTGGTTCCTGAAAAGTTTCCAGGAAAGAAAGAAAGGAAATTGTAGCCAATGGGCATAAATATGGCATCATTCCTGAAAAAATTATGGTCAGTCCTTCACATCAGGTAGCCTGAGAAACATTGTACTATCCAACTTGGCACAAACAACCTTTAGATGTGAGAATGCATTAAATGGGTCTTCTAAAAACAATCTGTTTCACCTTTCCACATATGCTAAAAACAATTCATCTTTTGGTCTTATAATCCATAAGCCTTTCACCTTTCCACTCATGCTAAAAACAAACCTGTCTTTTGGTCGCATAATTCATAAGCCTTTTGCCTTTCCACATATGCTAAAAGCAACCTGTCTTTTGGTCTTATAATGCACAAGCTTTTCACCTTTCCACTCATGCTAAAAACAATGGTCATATAATGCATGAGCCTTTCACTTTTCCACTCATGCTTTCACTTGACTATCTTTAGTTAGCATTTAATTTAACATTATGGCAGTTAAAGTGGTGTCAAACCAAATTATTTCTGCAGTGCAGATGTAGCCTAACATTGGAGTTCGTTTGCTAGTTGGAGTAAATATATGTTCTTATTTGGCTGTGGTACTGCATTTTAAATATAGAAATATAACTAAAGATGCAGCCTAAATTCAGTATTCAGAAGGTCCTTGGTATTTGCCTGGTTTTGGTATCAGGCTCATCCGTGGATGCCAAAATCCATGGATACAAAGATATCCCTTATATTAAAATGACAAAATCAAGGCTTGCTTTTTGGAATGTGTGTCTCTTTTGAATATTTTCAAGCTATGGATGGTTGAATTTGTAGGTGAAGAATCCATGGATACGGAGGGCCAACTGCACCTCAGCCGTGGATGGGATATGATTGTACATATCGAATGTGTGCTCCTTGGAGATAATGCAATAATGGATCTGGCCAGGTTTAACCAATGCTGAGTCAGTGTACCCAACTGTGTTCATTTGGCTCTGTTGAGGTTTACAGAAGTGCGTGGCAAATTGTACCTACAGTACTTCGATGAAGCAATGCATCAAGCTGGAGCTGGGTGATAATTATTCCAAAGGAGCAGGTGGCAGTATAAGTTCTCATGCAGATGGTTTAGCACAAAAAAGAACAAGCATGTCTCTCACTGATGCAGGGGAAAATGTGCTCTTTTTACCACTGAGAAATAATTTTTGCTTATATATATATATATATATATATATATATATATATATATATATATATATATTTGCAATGATAGTGATGTTTTCAATACTCCTGGTAAAATCTGATTACCTTCACAACACCCAGATAATTATACCAATCGAGAATATAAAAACTCTACCAAAGATAGACTCTCTTTTGTCCTAATGTGTATCATGCCTTAGGTGTTCACCAATAGACTGACTTATCCCGAACTGTATTTTGATGCATAAGCACTCCAGAACATTATTGCTGGTGTTGTACCAAGAGTCTAAGCACACTGGCAAATAGCAAGAAATGAGGCTCCTTCACTTTATTGTTACATAGAATCACAGAGTTGGAAGAGGCCTCAAGGGCCATCCAGTCCAACCTCATTCTGCCATGCAAGAAGACACCATCAAAGTACCCCTGACAGATGGCCATCCAGCCTCTGTTTAAAAACTTCCAAAGAAGGAGAGCCCATCACTCTCTGAGGCAGCCTATTCTACTCTGAAACAACTCTTACCATCAGGAAGTTCTTCCTATTGTTGAGGTGGAATCTCTTTTCCTGTAGTTTGCATCCATTGTTCCGGGTCCTATTCTCTGGAGCAGCAGAAAACCAGCTTGCTCCATCCTCAAGATGATATCTCTTCAAATATTTACAGAGAGCTATCATGTCGCCCCTTAACCTTCTCTTCTCCGGGCTAAACATACGCAGTTCCCTCAGTCTCTCCTCATAGGGCTTTATGGCTTCCA